GTTGTGAGATTGTTAACCATTGTCATAGGGCAACATTTGTAGTAACTGTTAAATGAGAAACTATTTTGTTCTGTAATCCTTCATCTTAAGTGAGAATAACAGCACAATTGGAAGAGCGTAGTCAATGTCACTGAACTGTTCATGTAGAAATTTTTGAAAAGGTGTATCTTTGGCTATGTGTATATTCACCAAAAAAGAAAAAAAAAAAAAAAGTTGAGAAGTTAGAGGGTTGATGTGTTGTGGGGTTGTTAACCAATGTCATAAAACAACATGTGTACTTCTGTCTCATGAGAAACTATTTGTTCTGTAAGCCTTCACCTGAAGTACAATAAAATAAATAAATAAATAAAAACATAGCATATATAGGGTTCAGTACTATCCAAAGTTTCAAGCTTCCACAACGGGTCTTAGAATGTATCCCCCGTGGATAAGGGGGGCTTTGTATAGGGTTCCCACGGGGGCAGTCTGAGTCCAGTGCCTTTCATCTTAATCACTCTCAGCTGGACCTCAGAATGACCAGGGTCTCCACTGTAGTGCAGACTCACCTGGGGTCGGGTTCAAAGCTGCCCTGAGTCAGTGGGTCTGGTGGGGTGGAGATTCCGCCTGTCAGTGTAACAAGCTCCCAGGTGAGGCCCATGGTCCAGGGATCACTCCGTAAATCACCAGGCTCTCTGGACATTGAACTAGATGCCTGGGGTTGAATCTTTCAAGAATTTCCAGCCTTTCAATCTTTTCAAGTTACCAACCACTTTGTACCCTGAGCAGTTACGATCAACAATGTCTCTGTTTCCCTAAGTTCCCTGATTTTCTGCAGTGGTTTTTCGCATTAATCTTCCATCAGGTTTTAGGGTTTTTGTTGCATTTTTCATGACCTTTGGATGGATGGTGGCTCTTTTCAATCAGGAAAGGAGGAGGAAAAAAAGAAAAAAAAAGAACTCCATAAATGATTTGAAAACGAGCTAAAGACTGTCTTTTGATCATTATCAAAGACGATGTAAATAATAAATGAAATGCAAAGACCTCTCCACTCTGGTTCTCCAAGTGGACTTGGTGCTGATGACATCTTCTCTCTTGGGGTTTGCAGCCTTTGGATTATGAAACTGTCCCAGCGAGAAAGCTCGTCACTTCCGTCGAAAATGAAGAGCGGGTTGTCTCTTGCGAAGGGGGCAAGCTTCAGAAGCCAGTGGAGACTGGGGCCGTGAGTGTGGAGGTGGCGGATGTCAGCCTTTCATCCCAGGACCTTCATTGTGAGTGAGGAGGATGGCGCCAGGCCGGGGAGTCAGCTGGGAATTTTTAATGCTACGGATCCCGACAGAATTTCAAACCGTGGAAGGTGAGAAAGAGCAGGTCCTCAGGTGGTATAAATGGTTTGCACTTGCCTGTTAACCTAAAGGTTGGTGGTTCAAACCCACCCAGCAGGTACCAAGGAAGAAAGGCCTGGCTACTTGCTGCCTTTAAGATTGCAAGAAAACGCTTTGGAGCGGTTCTACGCTGTAACACGTGGGGTCGCTATGAGTTGAAGCGACTCGACAGCAACTAACAGTAACAACGCCAGGTGAGGAGAAAGAAGTGAGGTTGTTTAAACGCGCTCAGCCGCATCCCCAGCGGGGCTCCTGCCAGAAAACTCGCTGCTTTGAAAGAAAAGCTCCAAGTGATGCGTGTGTCTAAGGTTGACTCTTTCTCGCTCATGAAAACACGAGAAGCCACCAGGCGAGCTCCCGGGGCCCAGGTTAACCGTCTGTGGCAGTAGCTTTCTTTGACCCCGCCAGACCCAATGTGCTTGCTCATTTCCCTTTACACTTAAAACCTTCGCATTTCCTTTACACAGTCTTCATCTTCGTATGAAAAGAATTTGTTCTGATTTTCCATCTCCCTCTTCCCCTAAGCTTGTAAACTGGCAGCAACAGAAGTGCTTTGTTTTTAAAGTTTCCAGCATTTAAAGTTGAGAGATTTTACGTTTAACACCCTGAATTTTCTGGGTGTTCTGGAAGATGTGGCCTCGTGGGGCCTGTGTTCCCCTAGGCCCTTTTGGAAGGCCGCGCTCAGCAGTTGGCCACATCCCTGTCTGCTCGGCCCTGGAGTTTGGGCATCTTCCTTTTTATTTATTTCTACATTTGGTGAAAATATACACAACAAAACATACAGCCGTTTGACGGTTTTTACGTGTCCAGTTCGTGGACAATGGTTGTGTATTTCACACCATGTCGCCCCTCTCTCTGTCTCTAGCACTTCCCCACTGTTCACTTAGACCCTCTGCCCCCCAGTGTTCTTGTCTGTGCCCCCGAGTGACTCTTGGCATTTCCAGAGACTCCCGTTAGAGCAATCCTTCACAGCTTCACCGTTGGGAAGGACCAGATTTTATTTTTTTAATTTCCAATCCTCCATGAAGCGATAATTTTGCAAAATATAATAAAAACAAATTACCAGAAAAACGATCATGCGCGTGGAGGTCATGGTAATGCCAGCGACGCCCCACGTTTCTGAACGCTGGCTCTCAGTTGTTGTCACGTCTCCCTGTGGGGAGCTGATCAAGCATTCACCGAGCTGGGGGTGGGGCTGTGCTGCCCCTGGTAGCCCTGCTCTTAAGCAGTGGCTGTCAAGGGATGGGGTGCACCAGAATCCCCTGGAGGGCTTATGAAAATGCAGATTGCCGGGCCCCGCCCTGGAGGTTCTGATTCAGGAGGCCTGGGGCAGGGCCTGGGATATGCATTTCCAACAAGTTGTTAGGTGATGCTGAGGATGCTGGTGGCATCCTAGTTTGAGAACCACTGGCCTTGAGCCCGAATTTCATTCATTGTTATATTCCCACGGAGCCCTGGTGGTGCAGCGGTTAAGCGCTCTGCTGCTAAACAACGGGTCAGCCATTCAAACCTCCCCGATGACCTGGGGGAGAAAGAGGTGGCCGTCTGCTTGCGTGAAGATGACAGCCTTGGAAACCCTATGGGGCAGTTCTACTCTGTCCTACAGGGTCCCTATGCGTAGGAATTGACTCGACGGCACGGGTTTACCCGTCGTAGTCCCGTCCTTCGGCACAGAACTAAACCAGTTGCCGGTGGGTCGACTCTGACTCATGGTGACCCCACGTGTGTCAGAGTAGAACCGCACTCCGCTGGGTTTTCAGTGGCTGATTTTCTGGAATTAGATCGCCAGGTCTTTCTTCTGAGGCACTTCTAAGTGGATTCGAGCTTCTGACCTTTTAGTTAGCGGCCGAGCACTTAACTGTTTGCACCACGCGGGGACTCCGGCACAGAGGCAGGCCCTTAATACGTGTTTGGACTGCGAAGTCAGGAACTGAACAGTCTGTTCACGTTCGCCTCAAATACTGCTTTTTCCACCAAGTCGGCTGAGGGTCTTTTGTGACAGGTCAGGCTGTGCCCTGGGGGACATTGCAAACCCTATGTATCGTAATGGTCTGACACCACTTTGCATGAGGTCCCCACTAGTCGGGGCTAACTTGATGACAGCCAACGACAACAACCAGCACCGAAGCAGGGACTAAAACCCCAAAACCAAACCCGTTGCCGTGGAGTCGATTCCGACCGACAGCGACCCTATAGGACAGAGCAGAACTGCCCCATAGGGTTTCCAAGGAGCGGTGGGGGATTTGAACTGCCGACCTTTTGGTTAGGAGCTGAGCTCTTAACCCCTGGGCCACCAGGGCTTCAGAGGCAGGGATGCAGTACCCAATAAGCAGGGTACACATGGGCTTACTTCTGCTTACTTCGTAATCTGCGGTGTACCATTTCACCTGTTTTTCACCACATCTGTGCACTGCAGATTAGTCAGTAAGCACAAGTGAGCCCTGCGTACCTTGCTGACTGGTGAATCCTCCCCAGCCTAGAGGCAACTGAAGATTGGTGCTTTTCCAGGACGGAATGCTGCCCCCAGGTATTACAGTCATGTTTCGTCCAACAAGGAGCAGACACTTCCTCATTCTCTTGAATGCCTATTTGACAACTGATGAGTATTCTGATTGTCTTACTTTTGCCTTTCATTAAATTCACCAGCACTCTTGGAGCTTAATTACTCTTAGAATTTCCCAAATTACTTGTGACAGGAATTGTGTTTGCTGTGATATATTGGAATTGGTCTTTGATGTAACTTTTTGATTTTAAATACTGTGTGTTTCCTTAAATAAGCTATGAACCGCTTCATGATCCAGCAAATTGGGTCACCGTGGATGAAGACTTGGGAGCAGTTACTGCCAGGAAGCAAATCGCCGAAAATCCCCTTACGTCAAGGACAGCTTTGACACTATCCTTGTCCATGCCATTGATGACGGTGTTTACCTAGAATTGGGGAAAGTGGGCATTCTTGCTTCCTGAGGAAAACAACGTGGATGAAAGTCTTTTGGCACAGCTGGGCAAAATATCAAACACACTTTTTTTATCCCTTTTCATCCATGCTGGTGATGCTTTTTTATGATAATCCTTGAAATGGCAAGCTAGAGACAAATGCCATCGGGAGAGGGTCGTTTTTGTTGAGAAGAGACAATTAAACCCATGAGGAAGCTGCAGTCAAACTCAATGTCTCTTTTTTTTTTTTTTAGATCTGTTCCTAAGACAACACTTTAGCTCTCTGTCAAAGCCAATGATGTGGAATAAACATTTAGCACAGTTTTCCTGTACTTGGAATGGCATATGAGCTCAGGCAAATGTGACCGTATGAGACAAATTTGCCATCAGCCAGGATGAGTGGTTTTATGAGCATGTTTCCACATGTTTCTACAATCCCCAGGCTGAATTATTAAACCTGTTAAAACATAAAGCTGAATACAAATTTTCAAATAGCTTTGATAATTTTAAGAAAATCTGTGAACTAAAATTCAGAGTCCCAGTGATATGGAGCGTGTATGCACCCCACCTGTATATATTTAGTAGAATGTTGGCTATGAGGATATTAAATGTATATTCCTAATTGGTCTTAAGTGAGGAGAAAGTGGTGGGTCAATGTTCTAGGGTTCCATGATTCTACTCTGGATGCTTTCATGATTGGCATTGTTTTAAATTAAACTTTTTATTTTGAGATAATTGTAGATTTGCATGCAGCTTTAAGGAGTAAGGAGTCCTTCAGACTAAACCAAAACCAAACCCCTTGCCATTGAGTTGATTCTGACTCATAGCGACCATATAGAACACAGTTACAATTGCCCCGTAGGGTTTCCAAGGAGCAGCAGGTGGATTTGAACTGCTGACCTTTTGGTTAGCAGGTGAGCTCTCAACCACTGCACCACCAGGGCTCCCGGGAGTCTTTGGATGGAGCAAATGGTTAATGCACTTGGCTGCTAACAGAAAGGCTGGAGATTTCAGTACACCTAGAGGTGCTTTGCAAGAAAGGCCTGGCAATTTACTTCTGAAAAATCAGCCATTGAAAACCTTATGGAGCACAGTTCTACTCTGACACACAGGCGGTTGCCATGAGTTGGGGTTGACTGGAGGGCAACTGGTTAGTTTCCCCAACTTGTTAGCTCCCCCATCTTGCAAAACTATGCTGCAGTATCACAAGACGTCAACACCGATACAGTAAAGATGGGAATGTTCCATCACCAGGACAATCCTGCGTTTGCCCTGTTGTGGCCACACCCCCCTCCCACTCACCCTACCCACCTCCCTCATCATGGATATTTGGTTTACCTGACGATTCTACATCCCACCTCCTCCTACAGACAAGGCGACGTGGTTTAAGTGCTCTGTTATATCTTACCCCGGTGTTCTGATTTCCAAAACAGCAAGAAAACAGATCAAGCTCAGGTCAGTAAAGCTTTTGACTTTGAAAAGGATGTTGCTGGGTGCCATAGAGTCCATTTTTGACACATAGCAATCTTATGTGACAGAGTAGAACTGCCCCATAAGGTTTTCTAGGCTGTAATCTTTACAGGAGCAGACCTCCAGGTCTTTCTCCTGCAGAGCTGTTGGCTGGGTTTGAACCCCTAACCTTTACGGTTAGCAGCCAAGTGCTTAACCATTATGCCACCAGGGCTCCTGTGATGAAGCTACTGCTCCAATAGTCCAGTTGGATGGTTCTTTTCCTGAGAGATTTAACGTGATTGTTTCCCAGTGGGCGATATGCGTGAGGAACGTACCTGCAGTTGGTCAACAGCCACTCTTGGGGTTTCCTCCACTACTAAGTGTGTTAACTCTTATAAGGCCTCCCGCCACAGACGGGTATGGGACCCTGATGCTGTTCCTGTCTGACATCAGTGACAACACCCCCATGCTCTGATGCCCCTACCCGGAGTTCTGTGAGTCCACAGTGAGTGAGTTCCTTCTTATGGAGGCAGAGGGTCAAGACCTGGAGCCCTACGTGGATCTGTTTACGTTTGAGTTGATAGCACCTGGGGAAGTGCAGATGACAGGTGGAAACTGGGGAAAAACTGGGGCGAGTGCTTGTATTGATCAGGAATAAAGGACAGTAGCTGAAACAGAATAAGGCACGCGCGCACACACGACCCAACAAATATTGGCTCACCCATTGCTGTCGCTTTGATTGCGACTCACAGTGATCCTACTGGACAGAGCAGAACTGCCCCACAGGGTTTCCAAGTCTGTCATTTTTACGGAAGCGGACTGCCACATCATTCTCCCATAGAGTGGCTGGTGGGTTCGAACCCATGACCTTTCGGTTAACAGCTGAGCCACTTAACCACTACGCCACCAGGGTTCCTTAATATCAGCTTAGGTAATTGAAAAAACCCAGGTAAACCTGTGATCGGGCAGAGCTGAGTCTAAGTACCCAAAGGGCACCCCTGGAAGCTGCCTCTCCACACCTGGCTCTGGGTTCCACCAGTCTCCAGGGCGCCTCTTACAGAGGCGAGGTGGCTTCTGGGAGTCGCGGGGACCCACCTGGTAACAAGCATCACTTGCAGAGTAAGTGCAAGGTTTTAATCTCTGCCTGGCTTGGGTCTCCTGCGCCTCCATCATTGTGGGTGGGGCTTGGGAGGGTGGGCATGCTGATTGGCTGGTTCTGAGCCCACACCTGGACTTGGTTGGGATCTGAGCTCGGCCTCACCTGACTCCAGTGTGCTGTGAGTCCAGGAGGCGGGGGTTCCCTGAAGGCGGGGCCGGATTACCCACTAAGCAAGGTACGCATGGGCACAATTGTGCCCTTACCCCAATGTGCAGTGCACTATTTCAGCTGTCCCCAACCTCGTCAAAGGCGTGCTGAAACCCACGAGTAACTGTTCATCACAGAGTAGCAAGTAAATACAATTAAGCTTGTGTGTCGCTTGCTCAATGCAAGCCGGTACACACGTAATTACTGGTTAATCCGCCCCTCTGCCCCTGCCCGAAAGAAAATTGGGGACGGTGACCAGAAGGAGGAGGAGCAGATGCTGAACAGGTTAGAGGTTGCCACCTGGCCAGAATCGCTGGCTGGCTGACCTTAGCAGCTTCTTCCCTTGGCGTCGCCCTGAGTGGAATCGACTCCACGGCAATGGGTCTGCTTTCGTTGGTTTAGTCAGTAAGCAGCTATTTATAGCAATGGCACCATTAGCCAACACTGTCAAAGGGCAGCCCTAACTGGTACCAGTTGTCTTTGAGTTGATTTCGACTCATGTCGACCCCATGTGTGTCAGAGTAAACTGCGCTCTATAGGGTTTTCAATAATGGCTGATTTTTTGAAAGTAGATTGCCAGGCCTTTCTTCTGAGCTGCTTCTGGGTGGACTTGGACCTCCAGCCTTTCGGTTAGCAGCTGAGTTGTTAACAGTATGGACCACCCAGGATGGCCCTAAGGTTCCTAACGACCCTGGAGCAGAATATGCAGATGCCCTGGCCCCTGGGCTTGGTGAAGGCTAATAAGGAAGCTAGTTCCTCCAAGAAACAATGCAATATTACTGGTCAGATTCACCATACAGCTACCGAGCACTTCCTTGTGCCTGGAACGGTGCTAAGCTCTGTAGTCACAAAGATAATTAAGACACAATTTGGCCACAAGAGTTTACTGCTGAGTTATAGGAACACAACACGATCCTCCTATATTGCTGTAGTGTGATCGGGTGCCGCTGAGTCGGTGTCCATTCCTAGCAACCCTACGTACAACAGAACGAAACACTGCCCGGTCCTGCGCCATCCTCACAATCCTTGCTATGTCTGAGCCCATTGTTGCAGCCACTGTGTCAGTCCATCTCATTGAGGGCCTTCCTCTTTTACCTCTGACCGTCTGCTTTACCAAGCATGAGGTCCTTCTCCAGGGACCAGTCCCTCCTGATAACATGTCCAAAGTACGTGAGTCGAAGTCTCGCCGTCCTCGCTTCTAAGGAGCCTCTGGCTGTACTTCTTCCAAGACAGACTTGTTAGCTCTTCCGGCAGCCCATGGGATATTCAATATTCTTCACCATCACAGTAATTCTTTGATCTTCCTTATTCATGTCCAGCTTTCGCATGCATATGAGGAGATTGGAAATACCATGGCTTAGATCAGGCGCACCTTAGTCCTCAAACTGACATCTTCGCTTTTTAATGCTGTGAACGCTCTGATATGGGTGAGCTTGTTCAATCCACTTTTAGAAATGGATGGTTCATTATATGGAGGAAGAGATGGTGGTGGTGGCTTTCCCTTCTCTCTTATCACAGTAGCTCTGGTTTCCTTACTGCTATGCTATTTTGTGCTTGGGCCCAAGAGGCACTGCCATGCTTTTCTTCAGGAAGAAGACGTCCAGAACCTGATTACATATAACGAAGACAGCAAAGCCATTTCAGCCCAGGCAGTGGCTTATAATAATGCTGTGAATGATACATAATCTTTTCATTAATTGTACCCTCTTATTTCTTCACTCACTCATATCTGAGTAGTAAATGGGGAAAAAATTCCTATAAAAATTATCCAACAACTCAACTAAATTGACCTATTGTTTGAGGCTAGTGGTTCTCAGCTGGGCAACTTTGTCTCCCAGGGGACATTTGACAAAGTCTGGAGACATTTTTGATTTTCTCAACTCAACTGGGGCCGAGGTGGGGGTGGGGGCAGCTATTGGCATCTCATGGGTGGAGACCAGGGATGCTGCTCAACATCCTACAGTGCCCAGGACAGCCCCCACCCCAGAGAATGATCAGTCCAGAGTGTCAGGAGTGCCAAGATTAAGAATTCCTGTTGAGGGAGAAAATGAATTTTGCCAGCTGGAAATGTTTTATGGAAATATTTCCACTTAGATGGAAATGTTTCATCCTTATTAATTAACTAAGAGTCTGTGCTGGCCTCTCAGCCATGGCTGGGGCTGCCAGATAGAACCCGCTCTCACCCTCCTCCAGCCGAGGCTGAGCAGAAAACACTGGCCCGGCAGGGAGCAGACCTGGGGTCCGTGTCTGCCTTTCTATCACAGTAGCTTTGAGCATGTCGTTTAACATCACACCCTCATCTGTGAACTGGGCATCATACAATCAGCTTCAGAGATGGACTGTGGATTGAAGAAGCTGATGCCTTAAAAGTACCTAATGCTCAGCTGGCACAAAGTAATTGGCCAATGATTGTTGGTTTTTCAAACCCACTGCTTCTGAAACTGGCCCTGCCGTTTGGCAGTCTCCTCGTAGCTGCCTTGGGCTGGGGTTGGGGCAATGAGATGAAAGCACCATGAGCCCTCCTGTCTTCACCTAGAACTTGGATGGTCCGTCTTAAAGATGAAAGCGCGGGAGTGCCGGGAGGACACCCCATCGTCCACTCTCTGAGGATTCAACCTGCCCGATCTTGCTGTAATCTTAGACCCTCACCTGTGACTTTTTCCTGGAAAGAAGAGACTTCTGGAATCAAGTGAGATGTTTTAGGGGAGAGAGAGATTCTAGTTAACTTTGACATTATGCTTGAACAAATAGGCTGACACTCTAAAAAAAATGATTGGTGGTTGAAGAAGTTGGAGGTCAACCAAGACTTTTAGGATTCTTCCCACATTTTCTCTTCTAGTTGAGATGAGAGTGAAGCTATGGGCTGCAAGGGAAGGGGGAAGTAACAGCATTAGGTCATGTTGTATATGCACAGGTCTATACACCAATCACAGCCTTCTTTTAACCCTACCTGGTATGGGAACGAGAAGGCAGGAGGCATGGTTCAAGCTCTCTAGATGGCTGAACCCCCCTGAGAGGAGCTCCCCAACCCCCTAAAAGGAGATTAGCAGCTAACTGAATTTGTTTGTGTAGTTTTAAGAGGGCACCATGTTGGCAAACAACTTTGTGTAACAGGTGGACCCCTTGCCTGAGACAGCTCTCCTCTGCTCGGAAAGGCCGCCATCCTGGAAATCTGCCCCGCAGTTCTGCCTCAGCCTCCCTCTCGGCGGGATGGAGCTATGACTGCTGAGCTCCAAGGAGGGATGGGGAAGGTACCACAGCCAAGACATTTGAGGTGGTGGTTGTGGCCTGGGTGCTGCTCTTGGTGGAACACCCAGTGATTGTCTCCTGGGAAGGAGGGAGCAGCGGCAGAAGCTGAGTCGGTGGAGGGGAGACTGGTCACCCACATGGGTTGTGGGTAACAAGATGGCGCTGATCAAAGATTGACTGTATCTGAGGGTCAGGAGAGTCTCATTCAGGATAAGGGACCTCTGTTCTCTGAGTCCAAAATGAAACCAAACCATTGCAGTCAACTTCATTCTGACTCTTGATGACCCCATGTGCGCCCAGTATAACTGCTCCATGGGATTTTCAAGGCTGTCAGCTTCTGGAATCAGATCACCAGGACCTTCCTTCAAGACACCTCTGTGTGGATTTGAACCTATAACCTTTCAGCTAGTAGCAGAGTGCTTAACCATTTGCACCACCCAAGGTCTCCTGACACCCTTCACTTATCCCTCACTCAGAGTTTGGGACACGTCCCCTGTTATGGATTGAATTCTGTCCCCAAAAAATATGAGTTGACAATCCTAACCTCTACGCCTGTACAGCCCATTTGAGAATGGGTTGTCTTTGTTATTTAATGAGCCAGGTTTAGTTTAGGGTGTCTCTTGAGTTAATCACTTTTGAGATATAAAGGAGATTAAACAAGCGAGCAAGTGAGCAGAGATGGGGGAAGAGAGACCCCAAGACACATGAAGATTGCCCAGGAGCTGAGTCATGGCGACCTCACGTGTGTCAGAGTAGGACTGTGCCCCATAGAGTTTTCAGCAGCTGATTTTTCGGTAGTAGATCACCAGGCCTTTCCTCCGAGGCAACTCTGTGTAGACTTGAGCTGCCAACCTTTTGGTTAGCAGTTCAGCATTAATTGTTTGCACCACCCAGGGAGTCCTGCACAATAAAGAGTGGCTGTCATATTAATATTATTAACTTTAATCCATATTTATGTCCTTGTAACCACTGATAGCAGTCCTGGTAGTGCAATGGTTAAGTGCTCAGCTGCTAACTGAAAGGTCAGCGGTTTGAATCCACCAGCGGCTCGATGCGGGAAAAGACCTGGCAATCTGCTCGAGTAAAGGTTACA